GCAGGTCCCCTCCCTCCCACTGACCCGGGTCGGTTTCCTTTCCTGCCATCTCTGACGGAGCCACTATGGAGGCTTCGGCAGCTGGCGCGAGGCGCGGGCAGGCTCTCTGGGCATGCAGGTCCGGTGGGTGACCTGGTCGCTGGCCTGGGCGGTGCTGCAGCTGGGCTGGAGGCCAGGATGGCTCCTAGGTAATGGGGCCCCGAGACATGGGATCAGGGTTGGGGCTGGTGGCTGTGGTGGGAAGGGGTGCTTTGGTGGGGCAGGTGGGGGGGCTGTTTGGCAGGTGAGGCTCCTACTCTGGCCTCCAGTTCTGCCCTCCTTGCTCTCTGGCAGGCACAACTCTTGTGCCATGTCAGCTGGTCTTGGGTGTGGGGTGCCAGCCAGCACCTTCTCGGTAGAACCTGGTCAGTCTGGCCAGGGCCCCGGTGGCCTTGGCCACCAGGGCCCTGTGTGTTGAGTCTGCCAGGCCTGGGTGTGGACGGGGCAGCCCCACTGGGACAGAGGCCACATGGGTGCTGATGTTTCTCTAAGACATCAAGAGCATGACTGTCCTGGCATCCTGGCCATCTGTCCTCCAGCCCCTCATGGGCCCAGGAGGGACACCTGCCAGGAGGGGCTCTAGTGACCACCAGGAGCTCTGGGGAGGCTGGAGTCCTGGGCTGCAGCATCCCTGGCACTGAGCCCCATACTGGGGAGCCCTTGGTCTTCCTGCCCACAGTGGAGGAAGACCCTCCCTGGGCTGCCCGTGCCCTGGACTCTCTGTGCCGCACATCTCCATCCCTTTGAAGGCCCAGGCCCAGGCCGGCATCTGGAGAAGGGGGCTCCCAGCTCCAGGACCAAGATTAACCTCTGACCTTGCAGGACCCAGACAAGGGACAGGTCCTGGGCCACCCTGACATTCCTCATGCCCAAAGGCCTGGCTGTGGCTGGGCCGTCAGCAAGGGCCTGCCTCCACACACCGCTGGCCTCTCTGAGAAGACCCATGGGTTGCTCTCAGGCCTCCATGGAGGAAGCAGACCTGGAGATGGCGGCCAAGGCCTGTGGCTAGAAGGGGGGCCTGGCTGTGGGAGCCTGGCAGAGGGCTGTGCCTGGTCTGAGGAAGGAGAACTGAGGGGTGAAGGGTGCCCCCCCCCAGGTATGGGCCAGAGCTGGCCTGCACCCCACACTGAGCAAGCGGAGGCCATCTCTGCCTCCAGACACTGGCTTGTGCCTGGGCGAGATTCTCTGAGGTGCTGTGCCTCAGTTTCCCCACCAGTAACCCTCAGCACAGTAAACCTCATCAAGGCCGTGTCCTGCTCACCCTTTGCCAGACCTGAGGGCCCCTGGAGGCCTAGGACTTCCGTGGTCCCCGACAGACTCGCCTCGTTCGTCCTGGTCCTTCTCATGGGTGGCCCTGCACCTTCTGCAGGGGTCTGACTCATGTTCGTGGTACCCAGACTCCTGGGGAGTAAGAGCAGCTGGGACTTAGCCCTGAAGTGGGAAACTTAGGTGACCTTGTGACGGTGGCAGGCAGAGCCTCTCTGCTCCTCACCCCTTCGCTCGTGGACTTAGTGCTGGCCTGTCAGCCATGAGACTCGCTGTACCATCTGTGAAAAGCCCAGCCCAACCCAGAGCTCATTTTTGGCTTAGGGATTCTGTTTGGTTTTGGTGGGTCTGGTGGTGGAACCCAGGGCCTCATCCAGCTGGGCCCGTGCCCTGCCATCCAGTACCACACAGCCAGTGACACGTTTTAAAGTCAGATTCGTTGATTTTTTCCTACCTAGGATTTTGGAAAATACCATAGGGAAACGTTGAAGCCCAGTAGCGACCCCAGCTCTGGCCTGCTGACCGCAGTGCTACTTGGTGTTGGTTGGCCAGGCTGCTGGGGCTGCAAGACAGGAAGGCACCCTCTGGCCTGTGCACTGGCCAGCCGCTCGGGCATCTCGGGCTCCGGAAGCCTCTCCTGAGCTCTGCATTCATTCTGTGTGAGTCTGTCCGTGTTTTCTGTTCTGCAAGCTCCCCAATGCTTCGGGTTGAGGGCCTGCCCTACTCCAAAATGACCTCCTCTTGGCCCATGGGGTCAGCCACCCTCTTCTTAGTAAGGTTGCCTTCTGTGGTCACCGGAGCACAGGACCCCAGGCGTGAGTTTAGGGACAGACCACCCACAGCTCCCTGCCACTCAGGTGACTGCCAGCTTTGAACCTCCGGGGTGCCTCACTCAGGTACCCAGCCAGGTCCTCTGGGGACCCCCTCCACCCAGCACCCTCACCAGAAGCAGCCAGGAGCACCCCGACTCCCCATGTGGCTGTGCTGCTTTCCCCTGAATGGGGCAGCGTAAGGGCTCCGCCAGTGTCCCCTCCCTGGGTTCTCCAGCTGCCCTTCTCTGGCTGTTGGCTCTTGTGTTCTCCGAGTCCAGGTCCGGGCCAGCATTGTAGCAGAGAGCCCGGTGTGGGTCGCTGTGGCTGCTGAGACCTGCCCGAGAGGCTCCATGCTGCCCAGGATCCCACCCTGGGCACGGGGTGAGGGCACTTCTTCCCCAGGGTGGATAAGAGCCTGTGGGGGTGCTGGGGACCCTTGACTCACTTGACAGTGCTCTCAGCACCCACGTGAGTCCTGCCTGAGTAAGGAGCGAGGCTTTGGCCTCCTTGGGGGGGCCTCCAAGCCCCACAGCCCTGTCGGTCCCCTCCAGATGCCTCTAGTATGTGACTCTGGGGACGGGGTTCTGACACCTGAGTTCTGGGACAAACACTGAACCCTCCGTGGTCCTGAGGTGGAAGCCCTGGTCGGTGGGGCGGGGCTGGACCAGCTGAGGGACACCGTCCCTGCTGGGCCTCCCGGGGTGCTCGACAACCGCTCCCCTGTCCTAGCCCCCTTGCCCAGGCAGGTGGGCAGAGGGGCTGAACCAGGTGGTTCTCTCCGTGGGTCCCCGGAGGACATTCCCAGCGAGCCTGGGGTCCCCAGGGCCTAGCTGGAGGTCCCTGAGTGAGTGGGGGGAGTGATTCAGAGAAAGGCCGAGGCCCCTCTGTGGGGGTCGCAGAGCAGTTTTTGCAGAGGCCCCTCTGTGGGGTCGCAGGGCGAAGTGCAGCTTCGACGGCAGTTTCTGCAGAGGCCCCTCTGTGGGGTCGCAGGGCGAAGTGCAGCTTCGACGGCAGTTTTTGCAGAGGCGGCGTTGAGATCCTGGATTACACAGGGCATTTGGGAAGACAGTGTAGAACAGCCGGAAGTCCTGGGCACAGGACCTGGACCTCAGCCCCACAGCTGGTCACTCAGACATTTTTAAAACACGCCTTGTGCTTCTACCCAGATATGTCTGTGCATGGGCCCCGGGAGGACGTGTGGCCTTCCCTCTGCCCGTCCCCAGGCAAGACAGCCCAGCATGAGGGACACCCAGAGGGCTGCCCAGAGCTTCCGCCCCTCCCCCACTTCCTTCACCAGGGCCTGTCCCTGTGACCAGATGGATTCCATGATGTCCCAGCAAGGCCCAGCCTGTGCCCGCCGTTCCAGGGGCTCTCTTGGGCCCTTTGTGCACAGGGTCACCTTCCTCCATTTGGTTGACCAAACGTCTGGCAGGGGTCCCCTCTGTGCTCCTGTGCCCTGGCCCAGCATCTCGAGCCCCTGACCATCACACCACAGCACTGCTTCAGCAGCCCCCTGGTCAAGCAGGACACCAGGCACTGCCTCCCAGGCCTGGCCCACAGCTGAGGGTGATGTCTGTGAGGGCCCTGCCCTGCTGACACCTCTCAGCAAGACTGGGACAGGCCCCCCCGTGTGGTAGGCATGTGCTGGGGTGGTCAGGAGTTGGCAGCGACCCCAGGAGAGGCCCAGGCAATCACAGTCCCCTGTGAGAGGCAGCACAGCAGACAGGCCAATGTCTCAATTGTCACACATTCAGGCACAGCAGCAGGTGAGGGAGTCCACCAGCACCATCCTACGGGTCTCACCTGGGCAGACCAGAGCCAGCTTGAGAGCAAGGGGGTACCCACAGGCACCTGGTGGAGCTGCACAGGACAGGACAGGCTCCCGAGGAGGAGGGCCCCTGGCCTGCCAGGGCTTTTCTGCAAGATGGCATGAGAATCTGTTTGGAAGCTTTGGTGGTTGGGCCTGGGTGTGGCCATGGATTTGGGGAGCCGGGTAGGGTACCCCATGTTTCTGGACCCGGAAGAAGGCCACAGAGTGGCCACACTGGGTGGAATGAAGAGGGCCGTGACCCGGAGCAGCGTGACATGGAGCCCTGGCAGCAGCACCAGCACTCCCCGATCTGCTGTCCCAGGAGGTAGAGTTACAGACTCTTAAGTCCAGCTGTACAATGTTTATTTAAGGTTTTCTTTGAAGTTTCATGTGTTTCTTGATTCAAAGTACGAAGAAGGTGCGTGTTAATACCACCCGGTGCCTACGTGCCCAGCTGCTGTGTGTGACTTGGACACAGGGTCACAGAGAGAAGGGCTCACCGTGGCTATGGGGTCACCCTGATGAGCAAAAGAGTGGGCGTCACCCTGTGGAAAGGAGGCCCCCCTGGACAGGCCATCCCAGCTCTGGCCTGGCATTTCCAGTCCCCTTGACCTCCTCATTCCCCTGGTCCTCCTGGCCTCACAGAGCCATAGACCTGGACCACAGCCCACCAGGCCCAGGGCCTCCTGGCCTGCAGCCTCAACACCTCTGTGCAGGCCCTTGGAGGCTCCCTAGCTCAATTCTTGAGTCATGCCCACCTCATGTTCCGTTGGCACCTTACTGGACCTCCGGGGCCCTCACCATCCATGGCTAGTGGGCAGCAAGGGGAGCAGGGGTGCAGCCAGCCTGCCCCTGGAGTGGGGAGGAGGTGCCTACCCAGCAGGTCTATGGAGACGGCCTCGGGAACCTCACTGGTTGGCCACCAGAGGCCCTGCAAACACCCGACTCCAGGCACCTGTCCACCTGTGCCAGGTGGCCTCATGTTGGCTCGCCACCGATACCTGGCCCTCTTCCTCCTGGGCGCCACAGCCACCTTGAGCCCCTCATCTCAGAGGCCATCCTATCCCTGGACAGAGGGACCGTGGCCCCGGCAGCCTCACTCTGCCGCTGTGCAGCGGGCACCTGGGATGAAGCTGGCCTGTGAGCAGGACAGCAGCAGAGGATGCAAACTGAGAAAGTGTGGGTGGGTGTCCTCACGGCCTCGTCCCAGAGCTGACGCGCCCTGAGGTGTGTGCATGGGAGGTTCCTTTGCTGTGCGCGTGCTTAGCCTCATGGGGCCAGCACACACCAGAGTCGGGTCTGCGGCAGGTTTAGGCCTGGGCCTCACCTTCCCACCTCCTAGAGCGTGCCCACCTCTCAGAGGGTCTCCCCGGGTGTGCTGTGTGCAGTGTCCCCAAGGGCCCTGGCAGAGACCTGCCCCTGAGCGTGGGGAGCCCAGCCCTGAGGCCCCCTTCCATTCTTCTGAGCACAATGGCCCGACTGGTCTCTGGGGGCCCCTTGCTGTGGTCTCCAGTCCCAGGGTCTTGCTGGGACAGGTGGGCCCCCACACTGCCCACTGCCCAGGGCAGCACTGTCCATGCCAGATGGTCTCTGGGCCAGGGCACAGATCAGAACCAGGCCTGCCAAGGAGCCCCGTTCCTCCCGGGCTGGGGCCTCCATGAGAAGTCCCTCCCTATCAGCTCAGCATCTCTGTGACCCTGTCCAGGACCAGGCCAGGCCACCTGCATCCCAGTGCCCATGCAAGCCCCAGCTCAGCCCTCTCTGGGGGACTGGCCACCTGGAGTCCAGGGAAGGAGGGCTAGGGTCTCTAGGGGAACCTGGTTCAGAGCCAGAATATTGGACCCAAGCCCTAGTCTCAGGTCTCAGAAGAAAGTCAAAGGAAAGCCCTGTGTAGAGGTGGGCTCCAGGAGAGGCTGGAGGAAGGTGGGCACTGTCGAGGGACTCGAGCCAGGCAAGCCTGTGAGAGCCGCTCCTGTCCCAGGACGCGTCAGGGGAGGGTCACGTGGGCTGCCCCAGGCCCTTGGCTCATGCTGCTTGTTTCCATCCATCTCAGAGTCCCCCAACAGGCCCTCAAGCCTCTTCAGCTGCTCCCCAACTCAGCTCACCGTGCAGGAAGGAGCGAACGCCACCTTCACCTGCAGCTTCTCCAACTGGTCGGAGCACCTGGTGCTGAACTGGTACCGCCTGAGCCCCAGCAAGCAGAACATCAAGCTGGCCTCCTTCCGCAGCGGCCTCAGTGAGCCGGGCAGGGACCCCCGCTTCCGAGTCACTCAGCTGCCCAGCAGGCTTGACTTCCACATGAGCATCATCTCTGCCCAGCACAATGACAGTGGCCACTACCTCTGCGGGGCCATCTCCCTGTCCTCCAAGGTGCAGATCCAGGAGACGACAGCCGAGCTCAGGGTGACAGGTAGGGACCAGGCATGGCCAGGGTGGGCAGCACCTCCTGTCCAGGGACCACCCCCCCCAGGCTCAGTCAAGGGCTCTGCGGAACCCGACACCCCCAGGGCCCTCTGGAAGCCCCCAGCCCCGTGTGCCTCTGAGGGGTGGCAGGTGCCCCCAGGGTGGGCTGTGCTTGGAAGCCCTCCCCAGGTCAGGCCAGGACGCTGGCCTGTCCACGGATCTGAGGAGACATTCCTCAGACTTTGAAGAGGGCAGTGGTCCCCTGAAGGCCTGGGGGACACAATGTGGTGGACCTTGACCCCTGACCCTCTGGCCCTCCAGACAGGGTCCGAGAGTCTCCGACACTGGAGCCCCTCCCGGCACATCCCCGCCCCTCGCCCAGGCCAGCAGGCCAGCTTCCAGGCCTCGTGGTTGGCGTCACGAGCGTCCTGGTGGGCGTCCCAGTGCTGCTGCTGCTGGCCTGGGTCCTGGCCACCACCTGCTCCACAGCCTTGCCAGGTAAGGCCTGTCACAGCCCTGCCACTGTCCTGCAGAAGCAGGGCCCCAGCTTCTGCCAGGCCTCCCGCTCCCCTCTGCCCACACTCCACCCTGACCACAGTGGGGGCCTGTGGTCACCACCGTGCACACAGCCCATCCTCGCCGAGTCACTGATGACAGGCCCCTTCCGGGCTGGAGGGAGGGGTCAGTCAATGCTGCAGTCCCAGCCCTTCCATCAGCCACCTCCAGTTGTCCTGGGCGAGCTTCTTAGAGTGCCAGTGACGTGATGCTGCCCTGCAGCCTGAACAGAGCCCCACGCCCCTTCAGAGTGGCCAGGTCCCTAGGCTGCCCAGCTCCCTCCTCCTCGTGCTGCAGGGTGTGCTGTGGGCCCCTCTGGGCAGCCAGGGCCAGACACAGCATCACAGTGCACCAGGGGGAGGCAGAGGCAGGCCCGTCCCTGCAGCAGGCACACGCCAGGATTCTCCATCCAGCGGGGGGTCCTAGTCACTGCCCAGGGAGGAAGCCATGGCACCCTTCCCTGGACACCCCCTCAGGGTCTAAGAAACCCCAGGACAGGCGAGGAGGCCCAGGTGGGGACCCCGACTAAGGCCCTCTCCTGGGAGGACAGCCTGCGTCTGCCCCTGATCTGGAATGTGTTTCCCTGCAGAGGCTGGAGGAGCCAGAAGTAAAGAGCAGCCCTTGGTGAGTCTGCGTCCCCGACCCGAGTGGTCAACACTCTGCCTCAGGGCTGGGCCAGGCAGAGGGGCTGGCGTCTGTGGGCCGACAGGACCGTTTCCCCCAGGTGCCCAGAGCCCCCCCTCGTGCGCAGCCTGCCTGGGGCAGCCCAGGGTGCACAGCCCACAGATGTGCATGCTGTGAGCTGTGGTGTGGGCGAGGCACGGCTTAGCCTGCTCTGGACAGAAGAGAGCCAGGAACCACAGTTTGGAATCCTGGGTCTCAGGAGTGCCCGGGACAGTTGACAATCCAGGTGGCAGTGGCGGATGGCCTGGAGGCCCAGGTCTGGGTGGTGGGGTGCAGGCTCTCTCTTGGGGTCTGGGTGGTGGGGTGCAGGCTCTC